TTGCTGCTGCTGCAGCACGCAGCGCAGCATCAAGACGCATGCGCAGCTCGACTGTCTCCTGCTGCAGCAGCAGATGCTGTCTTTCTGCTTCTTCCGTTAATATATGTATTCTGTTTTCTGTCTCCTCCAGCTGTGCTGCTAGCTCGCTGCTCTTTGCTTCTGCTTGCTGCAGCTCTTGCTGCAGCTGCTGCTGCTGCTGCTGCAGCTCCATTGTCTCCTGCACAAGCTGCTGCTCACGCGCCTGCTGCCGCTCCTCTCGTGCTGCTGCATGCTGCTGCTGCTGCTGCAGCAGATGCTGCTGCTGCTCTTGCAAACGGGATACCTCCTGCTGCAGTGCTGCTCGGCTCTCTGCTTCTGCTTGCTGCGCCTGCTGCAGCGATTGCTGCAGCAGCTGCTGCTGCTGCGCATGCCGCTTCTGTAGCTCTTCTCCCTCTGCTGCAGCTTGCTGCTGCAGCTGCTGCAGCTGCTGCAGCACAGCTTCTTGCTGCTGCTGCTGCTGTTGCTGCAGCTGCTGCTGCTGCTGCAGTTGATGCCGTAGACTAGCAGCCTCAGCAGACAGCTCGGCCTTCATATCTCCTGCTGCTGCATTCTGCTGCTGCAGCTGCTGCTGCAGCTCTTCTAGTCTGCTGCGTTGCTGCTGCAGCAGCAGCTGCAGCTGCTGCTTCTCCAGCTGAGCTGCTGCAGCTTGCTGCTGCAGCTGCTGGTTTTGCTGCTGTTCTTCTCTTAGCTGCTCCGTCTTGCGCTGCAGCTGCTGTGCTGCTGTTGTTCTCTCTCTCTCTATTTGCTGCTGCAGCTGCTGCTGCAGCTGCTGCAGCTGCTCCTCTGTTGCTACCAGTTTCTCTCCTATTTCTGCTGCTTCTGCCTGGCTGCTGCGTAGCTCTAGCTTGACGGCTTTGAGTTCTTTTTCGTGCTGCTGCTGCTGCTGCTGCTGCTGTTGCTGCTGCTGCTGCTGCTGCTGCATGCTGNGAGTTCTTTTTCGTGCTGCTGCTGCTGCTGCTGCTGCTGTTGCTGCTGCTGCTGCTGCTGCTGCATGCTGTTGCTGCTGCTGCGCTTCTGTCTTGCTTCCAGCTGCTGCTGCAGCAGCTGCAGCTCCTCCTCTGCTTTCCCTGCTCTGCGTACGGCATTCACAAAATCCTGCGACTGGTGTTCATACAGCTGCTGCAGCTGCTGCTGCTGCTGCTGCGCTGCAGCAAAGTCCTCCTGCAGCTGCTGGTATAGCTGCTGCATGTGCTGCAGCTGCTTCTCTATGGACCGCTGCCGGCGTTGCTGCTGCTGCTGCGGCTGCTGCTGATCCTCCCCTTCAGCTGCATCTTGCTGCTCCTCTTGCTGCAGTTGCTGCTGCTGCTGCTGCTGCTGCTGCTGCTGCTGCTGTTGCTGCTGTTGCTGCTGCTCTTGTTCCCTTTCAGACGCTGATGCGACTAGCTCCGGCTCCTTCTGCTGCTGCTGCTGCTGCTGCTGCTGCTCTGCTGCTGCATGCTGCTGCAGCAACGACGCTGCAGCACGCTGCTCCATGGTCTCTGCCAGTGACTGGAGGCTGGCGAGCTCACTAGCGGATTGCTGCAGCTGCTGCTGCAGCAGCTGCTGCTGCAGCAGCAACTCGTTGTGCTGCTGCTGCAGCTCCTCCAGCTCGCCACACTGCTGCTGGTGCTGCTGCAGCAGGCTGCTGTGCTGCTGCTGCAGCAACTCAAATTCTGCTGTCTGCTGCTGCAGCTGCTCCCGCAGCTGCACACATATATCCTCCAGCTGTCTTGCTGCATCTCGTGCGTCTTTTGCTTCGTGCTGCTGCTGCTGCAGCTGCTGCTGCAGCAGCTCGTTGCTTCTTTGCTGCTGCTCAAGCGTATGTCGCAGCTCTGCTGCTTGCTGCTGCAGCTGCTGCTCCTGCTGCTCCCACTGCTGCTGCTGCTGCTGCAGCAACTCATCCTTATCTGATAAAGAGATACGGAGGCTTTCGGTTTGCTGCTGATGCTGCTGCTGCAGCTGCAGCTGCCGTCTTGCTGCTGCTGCAGCTCGCTCCCTCTCCTGCTGCAGCTGCTGCAGCAGCAGCTGCTGCTGCTCCTCACTCTGTCGGCTGCGCTTAGCCATCTCCTTTTCTCTTTCTTGCTGCTGAGCATGGAGTTCATCTATGAGCTGCTGCTGCTGCTGCAGTTGCTGCTGCTGCTGCTGCAGCTGCAGCTGCTGCAGGTCCATCACTTGCTGCATGCGGGTGAACTGTGCGTTTGTTGCTGCTGCTGTTGCTGCTGCCCCCTGCTGCTGCAGCTGCTGCTGCAGCTGCTCCAGCTCTTGTCTTTGTGTTGTTGCTAGCCTTTCAGTTAGAGCAGCAAGCTCCTGCTGCATCTGCTGCACCTCCTGCTGCAGCTGCTGCTCTCCGTCTGCTGCTGCTGCTGCGTTCTCCTCTGCATCTCTCAGCTGTATAGACAGCTCCTCACACTTTCCTCGCAGCTGTTTTGCTTCTGCTGCTGCTGCTGCTGCTGCTGCTGCTGCTTCGCGATCCACTGCAGCAACATGCTGCAGCAAACCAGCTTTCTCCTCTGCTGCTGCCTGCAGCTGCTGCTGCTGCTGCTCAGCCTTCCGCAGCAGCAGCTCTTGTGCTGCTCCGCTTGCCTCCAGCTGCTGCTGCAGCGTCTGAACGTCGCTCTGCAGCTGCACATTCTGCTGCTGCAGCTGCTGCAGCAAACCCTCTGGTCCTGGCAGGGTTGCCGCCTGCTGCTGCTGCTGCTGCTGCTGCTGCTGATCCTGCTCCTGCAGCTGCTGCTCAAGCAGCTGCAGCTGCTGGTCCTGCTGCTGCAGCTGCTCCTCTTGCTGCTGCAGCTGTTCTTCTTGCTGCTGCAACAGCTGGCTCTGCTGCTGCAGCTGCTGCAGCTGCTGCTGCACCTGCTGCTGCAGCAGCTCCTCTCTTCTGTGCTGTTCCTGCTGCTGCATTTCAGAGTCGCGCTGCAGCAGTTCCTGTTCCTGCTGCTGCAGCTGCTGCTCCTGCTGCTGCAGTTGCAGCTCTTGCTGCTGCAACTGCTGCTCCTGCTGCTGCAGCAGCTGCTGCTGCTGCTTGATCAACTGCTGCTGTGTTTCCAGCTGCGCCTCCAGCTGCTGCAGCTGCTGCTGCTGCTTCTCCTGCTGCGCTACTTTCTTGTCTTCAGCAGCAGCAAGCTGCTGCTGATCAAGCTCTCGCTGCTGCTGCTGCTGCTGTTGCTGCTGCTCCTTTCCCTTTAGCTGCTGCTGCTGCTCCTCCAGCAGCTCTTGCTGCCTCTTAATTTCGCGTTCTTGCTGCTGCTGCTGCATCTGTTGCTGCTGCAGCTGTGTGCGTTGCTGCTGCAGCTCCTTCAGCTGCTGCTGCAAGGCAGCCTCACGTTCAGTCAGCTGCTGCTGCTGCTGCTGCAGCAGCTGTTGCTGCTGCTGAAGCTGCTGCTGCAGCTCTTTACTCTTCATATTCTGCTGCGCTTCTCCCTCTGCTGCTGCTGCTGCTGCTGCTGCAGCTTCCACTGTCCCTCGTTGCTGCAGCCGTTCAAGCTCCTGCTGCTCTGTTTGCTGCTGCTGCTGCAACTGCTGCAGCTGCTGCTGCCGCCGCAGCACTTCCTGCTGCAGTTCATATTCCTGCTGCTGCAGCAACTCAACTCTGTGTTCTGCAGCAGCAGCAGCAGCAGCAGCAGCAGCCGTTTCGAGCTGCTGCTGCTGCTCTGCGCGTTTCCCCCCTTCATCTACTTGTTGGTGCTGCTGCTGAAGCATTTGGTGTTGCTGCTGCAGCTGATCATGCTGCTGCTGCAGCAGCTGACGTTGCTGCTGCAGCTCATCCCGCTGCTGCAGCAGCAGCTCATGCTGCTCTTGCAGGGTGTGATGTTGCTGCTGCAGCAGATGGTGTTGCTGCTGCAGTTGTTGAAATTGCTGCTGGACCTCTTGATGTTGCTGCTGCAGCAGTTCGTGCTGCTGCTGCTGCTCCTCGTGCTGCTGCTGCAGCAGCTCGTGCTGCTGCTGCAGCAGCTCATACTGCTGCCTAATTTTCTCTAGGTGCTGCATAACTGTCTCCGATCGAGACAGCAGCAAACTGTGCGTAGCCCGCATCTCCTCCAGCTCTGCTTCTAGGGTTTCTACTTGCTGCTGCTGCTGCTGCTGCTGCTGCTGTTGCTGCTGTTGCTGTTCTTGCTGCTGCTGCACAGCTGAAGGGGGGAGGGAGTCATCGCTGCTGCGGAAAGCTGGCTGCTCCTGCTGCTGATGCTGGTTCTGCTGCTGCTGCTGCTGCTGCTGCTGCTGCTGCTGCTGCTGCTGCTGCTGCTGCTGCTGCAGTGCTTCAAAGGAATGCCGGAAGGCAGCCGCCTCCTCTGTTGCTGCCAGCAATTTTGCATGCGTCTGCTGCAGCTCAACCTGCAGCAAATGCACCTGCAGCAGCAGCAGCAGCAGCAGCAGCGACAGCAGCAGCAATGGCGTGAAAAAAAGCGCAGAGGGCACACAACTGCTGAAGAAGTAGCCGATGCAACAGCAGCAGCAGCAGCAGCAGCAGCAGTAGCAGCAGCAGCAGCACTAGCACTAGCAGCCACAGCAACAGCAGTAGCAGCAGCAGCAGCAGCAACAGCAGCAGCAGCAGCAGCAGCAGCAGCAAAAGCTACAACATGGTTTACAAAAGGTGTGCCTGCAGGAGCTCTGCAGCTGACCTCCTCATGCGAAGACCGCTCCTGCTGCTGCAGCTGCTGCATCGGTTGCTGCTGCTGCTGCTGCTGCTGCTGCTGCAGCAAAGAGTGCAGCTGCTGCTGCAGCAGCTGCTGCTCCTCTTTAAGGACCTTCAGCTGCTGGCCCCGCCGCCGCGCAATCCGCCTCGAAGCCGCCAGGTGTCTCCGCAGCTCAGCAGGCTGCAGCTGCTCTCCCCTGCAGCAGGCGGTTAGGAGTGTTGCCGCTGCTGCTGCTGCTGCTGCTGCCAGAGAGCGACAGCAGCAG